GGGAACCCGCCCGGTGCCCCTGGTCTGCTGGAGACGGTCTCCAGCAGACCAGGGGCACCGGAGCAGCTTACGAACGGGGCTCTCTCGCCCCGACTTCCGGGGCAAGAAAGCCCCGTTCGTAAGTGCGGATCCGACATAAGTCGGATCCGCGTAAGTCGGGGACTGCCTGTATAGGATACCTGAATCTGTCTCTCATTGCTGCTGCTTGCACTCTTGGTGTGACAGCCTGCATGCATGCATCATAAAGTTTTTCCTTCTAGATTTCTCTCCTGCCTCACTGATTTGACCTCCGGCCTCGGACCCTTCTGGGGGCTCTGTACCCCAGAGGAGCGAGATTTCCCCCTCAGAAGCAACCAAAACATTCTCAATTTTACAGTTACTTTATACGTATTTCCCAGTTGCTTCAGTATGTGAAACTGTTGTGGAACTGAGTATTCAACCACCTAGTGCCAACATTCTACCTAACATACTTAAGACTAGTATGTTGCTGGACCAGAGGAGCCCAGGTATAGGGAGGCCGAGGAAGATGTGATTGAGCCAGCTGAAACTGTCCTAAGGGAAGAAAGACTACCACTTCAATTAGTAGCTTTAAGGGGTAGCCAAGTTAGCAATAAATAGTCTGGTAGCACTTTATAGACTAACAAAACATGTAGATGGTATAATGAGTTTTTGTGGGCACAGTCCAATACTGATCTAAATCTGCTGCCATCTGGTATTGAAAAAATTCACTCCCTTGTAACTGCAAGTATTTGAAATACAAGATACTAAGTAACAGCTGTAGAAGTTTTCTGAAAGTATAACTGGGTTCAAAAGAATTAGATAAACTCACAGAAGATAGACCTATCACTCGCTATTAGCCAAGATTGTAAGTATGCAATCCAAACTTTTTAAGTGTCCATAAACCTGAGACTGCCACAAGTGGGGCTTGGACAACAGGGGACAGATCACTGGATAATTGGAAAGGATACTAGGCTAGATGGACCATTGATCTGACCCAGTATGGCTGTTCTTACATTATGAAGACTGATATATTGATATACAGCAAGACCTCACCATCTGCAGTTTTGCTGTTCACGGTTTTACCTATTCACTGTGTGCTGCACTGACAAGCACATGATGCAGTGTGCTGATACTTTGAGTGAGTTCTAGTAATAGGTATTACTTCAGCTATCATAATTTTACTAGAACAAAATACAGGTCCATGTAGCACTTTAAAGACTAACAAGATGGTTTATTAGATGGTTGTGACTATTTTCTTCCATTATTTGATCTGAGGAAGTGGGTCTGGCACACGAAAGCTCATCATCTAATAAACCATCTTGTTAGTCTTTAAAGTGCTACATGGACCTGTATTTTGTTCTAGTAAAATTATGATAGCTGAAGTAATACCTAACCTTAATTATGACACCAAAAGGAAAGCAAGTGATACAGACAGTAGTCAAGAGGCTAAGAAAGGAAAAAAGGTGATTACTATGCCTGAAAGTCAAATTATTGGATAAGCTGGCAAGTGGTCATAACACAGGCTCAGTAACTAGAATGTACAGCATTGACGAGTCTGTGTGGTATATTAAAAAAGGAGAAAAACATAAGACAGCATTGTTGCAAGTGCACCAGTCTGTGCAAAGGTGTTGTGAGTTGTGATCCCATAATTGAAAAAAATGGAAAGGACATTAAGCATTTGGATTGAAGACATGGTGCAGAAATGAGCACCTCTGAATGGTGTTGTAATTCGAGAAAAAGATGAGATTGTGGAAGCATTTTGTGCGAGCATCAGCTGGTGAAGGGTGTGGGGGGAGTCATGACAGTAAAGTGTCATTTACCAGAAGTAAGAGGTAGTTTGACAAATGTATAAAGAGGCACAGTTTACATAATGTGAAGTTATCAGGGGAATTTGCAAAAACAGACGATAAAAGCAGCGTGGAATTATCCCTCGCAGCTTCTTAAAATTGAAGAAAAGGGTTGCGTGCCCCAACAAGTTTTCAATGTACAAAAGGATGCCCACAAAACATACTTTCCAAGGAGGAAAGGTCAGTTTTAGGCTTCAAGGCAGCACACAACAGGCTAATCCTTCTCTTCTGTGCTTGTGCCACAGATTGCATGGTGAAACCTATGCTGCTCTACCACGAATTGAACCCCACGGCAATAAAGGCAAAGAAAACACACAATTTGCCAGTTTTTTGGAGGTCAAACAGAAGAGCTTGGGTCAAGTTAGTATTGGCTAATTATTTATCACTGGTACATCTAGGGCCTTGTTTACTTAGGAAAGGTTAAGTATAATCAAAGGGTGTAAATTTAAGAAGTGGAATTATACAAAAACCTCATCCCCATATTGTGGCCACTTACAAACTTCTTCAGGTTTTAATATTGTGTTTCATTTGGTGGGGCAGAGGGTAGTTTCTTGTTACTTGAGAAATCTGAAGAAGTGGGTCTGCCCCACAACAGCTCATTACCTAATAAACCTTGTTAGTCTTTAAAGTGCTACATAGTCCTGTTTTTTGTTTCAGGTTATAACAGTAACTCATGAAAGCAAGGCCTTAATAAAATAATGGATAGCATAGAAAGGCAATCTGTCCACCCTAAATGTTTAAAACTGTTGGTTCAAATTGAGACAAACTTTCTATCCAGACACACTGATTTAAAATGCAATGCATGTCTGTATCTATCTTGTGCTAAATAATTGTATAATTCCACTTTTAAATTCTTCCTGTGTCCAGTCTACATATAATAGTGTTATTCCCTACTAGGGATGTTAAATATTGGTTAACTGAATAGTCGAGTACTCATGAATTCTTATCCATTAGTCGACTATTCTGTAGTCCCCAGGGACGGGGTCAGCAGCCACTGCATCAGAGGCAGCAGCCAGGTGGGACCTGGTTCATGAGCGGAGCCAGTTTAAAAACCAGCTCCCTTCATGGACCCGCTGCCTGTTGCCCAGAACTACTGACTCTGATAAAGAGGCAGCAGTGTGGGGTGTCAGCAGCTCTTGCGGGGGGGCGGAGGTGGCAGTATCTGAGCTCCTGGATCCAATGTGTGCCAAAACTGAGCTGGGCTGCTGGATAGCCTGATAAAAAATGTACTGGCAGGTGGAAGGAAATGTATATAGCATTAGCCTATAAGCTTTTGCTTATAGTTAATTGACTACATTATTACATCCCTATCCCTTACTAAATAGCAGAATTAACATATTGACTGAAACATGGAAAAGATAATCATTTTGGAAACAGAAGCCCATTTGGTGACTGGTGGTAGTTCAGAGAGGTTGCATTAACATTGTCAAATATTCTTTCAAGCTTTTGAATAAAAACAGTAAAATAAACTGAAGGATGTAATTCTTTTCACAGAATGGCCAAACCTTAACTTCAGTCTTACATTTTGCAGAAGGTAGATGATGATGCAGCCCCTACAGACACACAGTACAAATCCTCCCTCTTATCCAACTAAGACATACCAACATTTCAACTTTGTGATAGAAAAAAGGGCCATTACAGTCCAGTTCCCAAAAGAGCTTTACATGTATTTTAAGGTTCTTTCTGTCCTTCCCCCCCCCCCCACACACACACTCCCCGGATCAAACTATTAGCTCTTGCTGTTGCAAACACGATGATATTCAAGTTAGATGAAACAAGCCAATAGCAGCACAATTCACACTGCCAGTAAAGAAAACAGCTGTATACCTGCAAGTTGTTGACCCAACATTTCATCTCTGCCCAAGACGCCTACACTGGATTTCTAGGTACTTTACTCTTTCCAAACAAAACCATGAACGTTATTAATAGGTCTAGACAGAAAAAATGTTTGACTTTTGCTTCTTGTGGAAATGGATAAGAGTTTATATAAACTACTAATAGCAGTCTTTTAGCAAAAAAGTTTTAGCCTTTCACAGATTCCCTGCAGTGTTTTACTCACTTCTTACTGTATGCATTCAAGTACTTAATTAGTGAGCAGGACTTTAAACAATAAGAATTTTGATGCTGCAAAGTTACTTTGTTGTGCATTTTACTAGCACAATACATTGATGACTCAAGTTAATCTTTTGGAGCACCATCAAAACTACAAGGTATTTGAACGTTGGTAAACAAATATGATTGAAATGCAGGATAGGGAAATAGCTGAAGTTAATGCCTTTTTTGAAAACCATGATTCAAGCTTCAAAGCAAACACACCCGAAAACCCTAGAAATGCACATTGCTGTAGCTTGACTGGTCCCTCGTTCTCTTACTGAGCCATAAGTTATCTTAAAGGCAAATCACCAGGAGCAACATTTGAAAGAACTCAACGCATTTTTATTTCACATATCAAAAAACCGCAGCACTAAACAAAGAGGGATCGTAAACAGAGCTGCTCCACAAGAAATGGGCGAGTCTCTCCAGCTCAGGCCGAGTCCCCACAGGAGCAGCGGGCCAGGCTGGGAGTGAGTCCAAAAGAACGGGCTTTCCTCGTATCCAGGTCCCACCTCGGGAAGCGACGACAGGTTCCCCCGGCCCGGGGCTGGCACAGTCCAGTCTCTCGCCCAGCCCACGGCCGCTGCTGGAGGCGAGGGCGAGCGGGGAGGAAATAAGAGTTCAGCCCGGAAGCGACGAGGCAGCTTCCTCTCGCTCCTCCTGGAAGCCGTCCTCACCCCGTCCCGCGTCCATCAGGCGTCGCTCCCCTGCGGGCGGGCGAGTGCTGGGGAAACCGGGCCGGGTCCATAGGCTGGAGGGGGAGGGCGCGAGGAGTGTCCCGGGCAGGGCAGAGAGGCGGCGGCGCTAGGACTCCTCGGGCTTGTCGGCGGGCGGGCCACAGGGCTGCAGCATCTTCTCCATGAGGTTGAAGCGCACGCGCGCCTTGCTCTCGTTCTCGGCGATGGCGAAGTAGTTGAGCAGGTCGAAGTGGCCCATGTAGGAGCAGTACGAGTCGCGGTGCTGGTTCACCAGCCACTCCCACTTGGTGGTGTCCGCGTGCCCCGTGCCGATGTACTTGGACTGCAGGTGCTCCAGCTGGCTGTGGATGGTGTAACGGTCCGTCATGGCGGCGGCGGCAGGCGACACCCCGGGCAGCGCGGACCCCCGGCTGCTCTTCTCCCCGCTCTAGCGCAAAATGGCGGCCGGAAGTGACGCGTAGAAGGAAATGCGTAATGTCCCCCGGGAGCTATTGCCTCCATGACTCACCGGCTTTTCCGCACTGGCAGGAGAACAACGAAACTGAGGTGCAGGTCGCCCAGGGGCATGTCGGGATCGCTCGCAGCTGAAATACGAGGGAAATTCGGCTGCCTCTGGGCGGCGCATGTGCTGTCGCACTAGCGCGGCCCCAGTTGCATGCTGGGAGCAGTAGTCCCCGCGCTTGCGAAGGGGAGGGGGATGCGGCCTGTCGCTCGGCCTGCTGATTTCCCCGCCTCGTTCCTGTCTCTTGGCTCCTCCCGGCCCCGCCCCCAGCCCGGTCCCGACACCGCCGCGTGTGCGCAGCGCGTTCGTGCAGCGCAAACTGCCCCCGGGCGCCCACGTGTCCGTCGTTTTACTCCCCTCGTGGGTTCACTAGCGGAGAATGACGTGGTGCCCCGGACCAGAGGAAATGGTTCGAAAACTGCAAGGGGCCAAAGGGGCCTCCCGCCCCGCCTGCCTCTTCCGCCTGAGACTCCCTGGGAATGGGGTTCTGCCTCGGAAAGAGCCTGAGCAGCTGGTAGAGGCTGTGCCCTAGAGGACTAGCTTTAATCTGTGTTAAAGCAAACATGGGAGTGAAATCGCACCCCTTTTTAAAAACTGATTCAAGTAGACGGTTGGGAGCAGAGCCGCATTATGACTTTAGTGGGCTCCTTCCTCCATTAAAAAAAATTAAAAATATTTTTGATATAACTTTAAATACTAAAACATTTTATTTTTTTCTGTTTTAGGCAAAATTTAATAGATTTTCGTGGGCCCTGAAAGTTTCCTTTTTTTCTGATGTGAGGAAAAAAATTAAAATATTATCTTCAACCCTAAAAGTTCTTTTTTTCTCTTTTGATTTTAAAAAAAATTAAAATTATTTTCATGAGCCTGTAAAAGTATTGTGGGCCCTAGGCACTGTGCCTACTGGTCATATGCGGTTCTCTAGATATTCTATAGCCTGGTTTTATTATACGAGTTCAGATACGCTAATGTTATCACCCAAGTTATCAAATCCACTTTACAAAACTATTTGATATTTGATCTTACAGCCATAGAAATCAAGGAGAGCTTTGTTACTAACTTGAAAGAGGATTGACTGAGTATTTAGTTTGGGTATATGAGATCCTGAATTACTGACATTAATCTTTAAGCATATATTTTACAATAATATTATATTAAAGGTATTGGCCTAAACTTGTAACTGTCAGTTTGCTCACTAGTATAAAGCGTCGATAAATTATTTTTATACAAGATTTATTATGAATAAGTAAGGGACTATAGTTCTCCATATATGGATTCCCTGAAGTAACTGGGCTACTTCAATGTATAAATAAATATTTACTTGCAAAATCTATTGGTTTAAACATTAAAAAACACTTTGAAATACACTGTAGGGACTCTAAATGGCCACTGGATGTCAGAATTGTACTTGAATACAGAAATCAGCATGAGTGGTTGCTGCTATAAAAGTGTCATAGTACAGGTCATTATAGCAATGTTCTCATATGAGACAGCTAGGTCAATGGAGAAAGACAAATACTGTGATTTTCTACCTCAAAGCTATAAAGCCTTCCATTTGTCCTGCATGAGACAGAAGAGCCCACACATGATATGTCACTATTTTTGGTTTTGTTGTCCTGCTGATACAGTACCAAAGATGTTCCTGAAAATAAATTGCTTGAGATTTCTCCAGAGACCAGCCTGAAATATGTTAGAATAATGTGGGGCTAGGGTAGGAAAGAATTTCCAGTCGTAGTTGGAAAATACATTATATTGCAAAAGATTACGCATTTTTCTTGCAAGCAGGCCTCTATGGCTACTGACTAACAGGATTCTTTGATAATTACTTGCACAGATTTTATCACCTCTTCGTTATGCATGGCTAATAAAACCTCTTGTTAATTATATGGTTTTTTTTTCCTCCGGATGTCCCATGGTGCAATACACATTGTGAAAGCCTTATTATATGTACATAATTGGCCAAACACTATGATGACACTACAACTCATGTAACCATATAATGTGCGTACATTGCCCCTGTGAGTACGAGCTGGAAGATCTTTCTTTACTGAATAATCTTGTGTAAAGCTCTTTCTACAAGTTCCCATTTCTCCTCCTCGCTATCCAAATCTTGATTCCTTTCCATAAGTGAATTGCTTATGATATATTTTAACATAAAAACAAGGGAGCCATGGTACCTATCTCTAAATCTAGCCTGCACTCCCAAAATATTACACTGGCCCAGTTACATGTTTGAGATTTGATATTTAGCAGTGCATCTCAACTAGCGACAGGAGCTTTGTACAGAGGAATGGAGAGATTCCCAGCTTATAACCCTGAAAGGGCCTAAACTATTAGTTTTAAAAATCAGAGATTTTTAAATGAAATTTATGAGGGGGGGAGGGGCTAGCATATGTTATTTCAGTTTTTAATTTTCCTATAAAGCTGCTAGATGTACACACCTAGCTGTGCTGCTAGATGTACATACCTAGCTTTATTAAAACTCTCAGAAGCATTTTTAAAGTAGTTTTTCTATAACATACGTGGCATGTACATGATGGCATAAGGGCAGATAAAGACCATGATCCTGCAAGGCAGCCTTCTTTGGCTCCTACACCAGTGCTTAGCTCCACTGACTTCAGAAGGACGGTACACTCAGGTGGAGCAGTTTATAAGAGAGAAGCTAAAGGCTATCTGCAATGACCCTATGTAATGCAGTCATAGTTTCACAAAGTGTGACTAATACAATTAATACTCATACTGATGACACCTTTTTTTCTAGTTCCCAGCATTACGTAATAGATTATGTAATAATAAAATGTAGACCCTAAATCAGTATTTAACAATAAAGTAATTTAGTTTCATTTAGAAACTGATAATCTATTCCCCAGCATTCATGCGTATTTAAAGGAAGTTTCACACTAGAGGTCACAGCATCTATTGTAACCCATAGAAAAAAGCTTCAAACAATGCAATTTAAGAAACATGGGACTGAGAGAGAGCATCTGTTTAAAGAACACATTAAATGTCTCAGAAAGAGATAACTATCATAGTTGCAGGGACATTCTGTATTCCAAAGCCTTTACTTTGAAAATAAAATCCTCTCTCAACAAATGCGCTGAGTTTGTGTTTGAAGCTAAAAATACAGCAGACAAGTCTGCCAGGTGAATTTAACCTGCTTAGAATTACTGAAGGATAATTTAAAAAAAAATCACAAAGTTATGTTTTTTTTCATTCATTTTGGTAATAAAACAGATCTTAAAATCAAGCAGATTATGTTGGCAGCTATACTTTGATTTCTCCTGCCCTCACCGTCTTTCTCACCTTTCTTCCAGGACCTTGTTATGTCATTCATCCCAGGTAAAGTATCACAGCTAATACAGAGCTGAGGGAGACAGCAGTCTGTCCTAAATACATGCAGCCACAGCAGAACTTGTATGGTGGCATAAACACATTTAAATCATCCTCTATAGGAAACCTCAGTTTAATTTTTTATGGTCAGTCTAAGATAGAAGGAGCTGGTCAGAACAGTATCCACTACAATGTTTCTCTGCAGCAGGGCAACTTATGACAGAAGAAAACAACTTATTCTCTCCTCTCTTTATGTTTTTAAATCTTATCCTTAAAAACTATTTAATAGAGCAGTCTTCATGTTCATGTTTAAAATATTTGTAAAGAAACTTAAAATTGCTCTCCACAAAGAAGTCTTGTCTGTTTAAAAACACTAATATTAATCATTTCAGTTAGGTACTAGAACAGTAGTATTCTAATCTTTATCTTGACAGAACTCTAACATTTCTATTTTGCACCAGTCTAAAACTCATCTCTAAACACACTGGCTGTGTCTAGACTGGCAAGTTTTTCCACAAAATCAGCTGCTTTTGCGGAAAAACTTTCCAGCTGTCTACACTGGCCCCTTGAATTTCCGCAAGAACACTGACTTCCTACTGTAAGAAATCAATGCTTCTTGCGGAAATACTATGCTGCTCCCGTTTGGGCAAAAGCCCTCTTGTGCAAATCATTATTGCATTTGATTAATATTAGAAGAACTGACTTAAATGGGGCCTGTGTGTTGTGTAGTGTTGCCTTAATCTTTGTATTCATGCCCGTCAGTGTGAAAGAAGTTATTTTCATATATTTGCATATATATTTACATGTATATGCAACCACACTTAAGTTGCAGCCCTCGGCATGTGCTGTGAGTTTCACTGTGGCTCCTGGGGTTTCCAAAGTTGAGGAGCCCTACTGTATGGTACAGGCTACTGTGTACAGTATTGCCAACCCAAAACATTCTCAATTCATTATTCAGACCCTAACAATTGTAAATTGGATTAAAATAATGAGATTTTAAAATTGTGATTCTTGTGATATTTTGAGCCATTAGATTTCACTGAATCATATTTGTTTTTCTCCTCTACCATGAGAGCTAGAAATTTACATTTTTTGAAGTGAATGCTGAAATTTTCATGTATTCAGATGACTCCAGGACCACCAATTATATTGAGCATTGGCAACATAGTTGCCTAAGAATTCTACCAAGCAGTCAAAAATCCATATGATAAATAGTTTCCTTGCGTATTCAAGTACAGCAGTTGCTTCATCCACATTAGTATGTAAGCCATTTTATTTCTTGGAATAAGCCCCTACAGTCAGAACTGATTCATGGTTATTGTAAACGTTCATTCTCCTTATGAGTTCTTTCTTTTTCCCCTAACTTTGTCTGTCATCTATATTTTGATTGCAATCTCTCCTGAACAAGGATTGACTCTAATTCTATTGTGTACAAAACCTAACACAATGAGGGCCTTAGCCACTACTACAATAAAAATAATAGTGTGGATATTGGTAAAATTTAACTCTGTGCAGTGGGGCAGCACAGGCATTTGTCAACACAAGCAAGATACCTTTTAACATTTTAATGGAATGGGAATATGTATATTTGTAAAAAGAGAGAAGAAAGTAATGGAAAATTATCACAATCATCTTTCTAGAGTGTTCTCTAGTTTTCTGCACCAGTCTTCTGCACCACTATACATAGGATCAGTATTCACTAGAGGTGCATCTACACAGCAGGGCTTGACGCGAAATAAGCTACACAAATTGAGCTACGTCAGAGCATCCACAAAGCACTTATTTAGAAATAGAGCACTCTTCCTCTGACTTCTTTTACTTCTCATACCATGAGGGTTACAGAAGTCAGAGTAAGAAGTCCTCCAGCTTGACAGTATTTCGACATTATTTCAA